CGTCGATGCATAGGATGTGATCGACGGGGTTGCTACCGCCGCTACGCTGCAGCTGTTGAAGATTAAGCCGCCGGCGAGCGACCTCGGTTCTATGCTGCCGTTGCGAGGCTATTCCGACGAGATTGTATCGGTTCCAATTGCTTCTCCCTCGGGGTTTGTTCAGACCGTCGTCACTGTCGCCACTCCAAGTCGTTGTTGCTGTGACCGCCGACCTACTGCCGCCGACCACCGCTGTTAGGTGATGCATGGTGCGCGTATTTCATGTGTGACTTAACTTCGGTCAATTATTTGGTGTTCATATGTACTGTGGGTTATTTGGCTAGCCGGAAATCGCAAGGCTGCCGCCTTGCACCACCGTCGGCCACCATTTGAGTGGCTGTGCGTGTGTATGTGTATGTTAGTGAGTGTGTACGTGTTTCGGGATTTGTATTGTAATCTGTAATAGTGTCGGAATAATGAAAGAACTTGAAAACCACCACCTTAGGGTGGTGGCTGCCGCCACCGGCCGCCGTGTCGGGTGGCGGTGTGTTTACCTCGTTGAGTTTGATTCGGTTGGGGTGGTTGAAACCCTAATGGGCCTTGTAAGCCCTAATGGGCCCAATGAAGCTTAAGGGGCTTAGTGGAAACTCTAATGGGTCTAATGGGCCCTAATTGACCTAAAAGCCCGACAAATTGATAAATGGGCTAGTATTTGGGTTGGAATACCCTAACGCCAATAAAGCCCTAATTGTGAGAATTAATTGGGACACACACACGGACATTATTTAATAGCTTGAAATATTAAATAATAATCATTGGCAAAGATTAATCTAAGCAATATTGGACTTAATGGATTAAGTCCTTAGTGGATTAAGTCCTTAATGGGTTAAGTAGGAAACTTAACCCTAATCATCATGTTATGTGAAACCCTAATTTCACTTGGGCCTTAAGGTGGGCCTAGATGATTGGGATAATAATGGGCCATCCAAGAGTAAGCAATTGAACTAGAATAACTTAATGGGCCTAGAGTAAGGCCCATGTAAGGGGTTTGGGCCCAATTTGGAAAATTGGGCCATAGATCGGCCACAGTTTGGGCCTTAGTGATTATATGATGTTGGGCCTTAGAATAAGACCATGTATAGGCTTGGGCCCAATTTGGAAAATTAGGCCATATGTTGGGCTTTGATTCCTAATTGACTTTGGGCCTATGGATTGGGCCTTGGGCTTAAACAAAGCCAAGCCTGGAGTAATGTAGTAATTATCCAAAGTATGTACTTATGGTTATGTAGTGGGACCCAATTATTAATTGGGTGATGTTTTGAGATTGACAGCTCGGGAATCTGTCATCCAGCAGCTGGGGTTGAGTCTGCAGGACTTCAGCAGTATGGGATTGAGTCTGCAGGACTTCAGTAGTGCCAGGTGAGTCTTCTCACTATACCTTACCCAGAGTGGTAATTATGTGTGACCGGAAGGTCTTATGTGCTTATACGTGATATGTGATATATGTTTTATGTGGGACACTATGTTATGAGTTGCCTGGTTTGGACTGGAAGGTCGACAAGGTTTGGACTGGAAGGTCAATAGAGTTGGGTCGGAAGGTCAACAGAGTAGGACCGGAAGGTCAACAGAGTTGGTCCGGGAAGGTCAACAGAGTAGGACCGGAAGGTCTACAGAGTTAGGACCGGAGGGTCTACAGAGTCACGACCGGAAGGTCTTATGTGCTTAAATGAGTTATGCGATATTATGCAATTTTTCTATGTGATATTATGCATTTTGTTTATATGGTATTATGCATTTTGTTTATGTGATATATGTTCTTATCTATGTGATATGTATATGCTATGCCCTGAGCTTGCAGGGTGTGGACCGGAAGGTCAATAGGATATGTACCGGAACGTCATCAGAGTATGGACCGGAAGGTCAACAGAGTAGGACTGGAAGGTCTACTCGGATTGTGGGACCGGAAGGCCCCTGAGACACATTGACCGGAAGGTCTCGTAAAGCTTTAGCCTTGAGTGGCTAATTATATGTGCGTGGTATTTTGGGGAGCTCACTAATCATGCGTGCTTACCGTGTTATGTGTTATGTGTTTCAGGTACTTTGTTTCAAAGGAGAGGAGCCGGCTTGGTCGCAACGCATCACACTATGTTTTCCGCACACGGGATCCTTGGGATTACACTCTGATATGGTTTTATGATACTATGTTTTGATTATTGACACTTTGGTTTTGACATGAGATATTATTATGAAAGTTTTATATTGATCGGTTTTATGCTATAATTTACTAAAAATGAAATTTTTAGCCTTAAATTTTGGGATGTTACAATAAGTCTAATAACTATAGCTGCAAGTACGACTTCAGGATCCGACCAGCAATCGTAGCTCTTAAAAGTCTCGTGGAACTAAGTTGTGCCATTTTAGATAAGTGATCACATAATCCTCTGTTCAAGATATCAGCCGGACAAATACATGGAACAACGTCGTACTTATTGTCCAGCAGTTTGTTTCCCGATTTCCGATTTGTTTGACATAGAACTTAATCAAACACATCAATTCAATTCTTACCGGGCCCGACACATAAGTCAAAACAAAATCATCGAGGGGCCCAAGATATCGCTTTTAATCCTCCAATGACTAAAAGGAACATATAAACTTTGACTCATATGCTTGTACTAACTAATCATCAAATTGTACACAACAACACGTTTTATAACATCAAGTTACTGATATGTTTTCGTACTATCAATGTACAACCAACTCATAGTCAACAACTCATATCTCTTGGTTTGAAGACTTATATGATATTATCGTTTCACGATCACTCGAGATAAATTCCATGAAGTGATACAAGTAAGCGTGGGTTGAATCCAATACTTAGAACTTATGAGCACTCATGAATGTTGCAGCAACAATTTCTATGTTTAATACAATTCAGACAAATCTACAAACCCAATTCATGACAGTCTTATTTCAATACCTACTTCCAAAGTATGATTGATTGTCGATAGTTTGAATAATTATAATTATTCTGGAAGTCAAAACATGCAAAACGAAACAATAGTAAATGATTGACACAGGACAGTACCATACTAGTAAATAAAAACACCTTTTATTTAAACATCAAATGTCAATTACATTTCAACTATTACAAGTTTCGAAATCTATCTAATTAATAAAACTAATATCATTCTGCAGCCCAATGCGCCTCACATGCTGTAAATGCTTAACCCTACACAGTCCCTTCGTGAGGGGAACTGCTGGGTGATGATACCCTCTTTGCCACGAGGAGTCCTTCTATTCGATGTCTAATGAAGTGGTATTTTCTGTCGATGTGCCTGGATCTGTCATGATCCCTTTCTTCCTTGGCTAAGGCAACTGCACTCTTGTTATCACAGAAAATCTCCATAGGCTCCTTTATAGCTGGTAAAACTCCAAGGTCTCTAATGAAGTTCTTCAGCCATATCGCCTCCTTTACCGCCTCGCTTGCTGCTATATACTCTGATTCGCAAGTTGAATCAGCTATTGTCTCCTGCTTGTAAATTTTCCAAGTTATTGCTCCTCCATTTAAGGTTAAGACCCAGCCCGACTGAGAGCGGAAATTATCCCTGTCTGTCTGAAAGCTGGCATCACTATACCCCACTACTCTCAAGTCATCACTCCCCACCAAGGGTAAGGACCCAGTCCTTAGTCCTCCGCAAGTACTTGAGAATGTTCTTCACCGCAGTCCAGTAAGCCTTGCCAGGATTCCTTTGATATCTGCAGACCATGCTCAAAGCAAAGGCCACATCAGGGCGAGTACAAGTCATAGCATACATGATCGAGCCTACAGCGGAAGCATATGGTATTCGACTCATCTCAGCTATCTCAGCCTCTGTACTCGGACTCTGAGTTCTACTCAGTTTGGCATTGCTCTGGATCGGTAGGTCACCTATCTTGGAATCCTGCATGCTGAATCTTTTCAGCACCTTATCCAAGTAGGTACTTTGACTAAGTCCAATTAGTCTCTTACTCCTGTCTCTCAATATCCTTATCCCTAGGATATAGGTAGCTTCTCCAAGGTCCTTCATAGCAAAACACTTCCCAAGCCAGGACTTATCCTCCTGCAAGGTTGGGATGTCATTTCCTATGAGTAGTATGTCATCCACATATAATACCAAAAAGCTAACTATACTCCCATTAGCCTTAACATATACACAGGACTCCTCCTCGCTCCTCGAAAATCCAAACTCTTTGACTTTCTCATCGAAACAAAGATTCCATCTGCGAGATGCTTGTTTTAATCCATAGATGGATTTCTCAAGGTTACACACTCTATTAGGGTACTTTGCATTAATAAAACCATCTGGCTGACTCATGTAAACATCCTCAGCCAACTTTCCATTAAGGAAAGAAGTTTTGACATCCATTTTGCCATATTTCATAATCATGAAATGCAGCAATGGCTAGCATAACCCTAATAGACTTAATCTTCGCTACTGGTGAGAAGGTCTCATCATAGTCATCTACCGGAGTTTGAGTAAATCCCTTCGCAACCAGTCGCGCCTTATAAGTGTGTACTTTCCCATCCATGTCAGTCTTCTTCTTGAAGGTCCATTTGCATCCGACTGTCTTACGACCCGGAACATTGTCAACCAAGTTCCAAACTTGATTGTCATGCATAGACTGAATCTCGTTGTCCATAGCCTCCTTCCATTTGGCAGATTCAGGGCCTGCTATGGCTTCCTTGAAGTTGTTAGTACTACTTGAAAACAGCCGTTTAATGACGCGCAAACAATGACACGCACTGATAGAGGACACGCATTTGTGCGTTCCCTAAAAAATAATTTCAACTTTGCAAAATTTGAAGGATAGAGGACACGCATTTATGCGTTCCCTGAAAATTAGTGTCCAATAAAAAAAATTACAAACACGGAGGGCACTTTTATCTTAAATGCGTGTCCTCTACAAATGTGGCCTTATAATTTTTACTGAAACGCGTGTTTCTTATTTTAAAATCGCAGGGACAATTCATTTCTAAATTTCTAGGGCTTTTTTGAAGAACGCTCAAAAACACTCACTTACATTGCATGCTCTTTGCAAGCGATCCGTTCGGCAACTCAGGCTCACTTTTTCTCCCTCTCCGACGACCTTAAAGAAATAGAGAATATTTCAGAGGTATCATCGGAATAGGAAAGCAGGGAAAAGGAGCGGAATAGAAAAGCACAAAATCAACTCTCTTCTCTCCCTTCTTGTCTTTGTATCTTTGTTCTTTGATATCTCCCTTCCACTCATGCCCCCGTCTCCGTCCCTCATCCACATCCGCTGTCTCCAACCCTCACTGCCGGAGCCGAAAAAGAAGACAAAGAAACGCATGCCCTAACTTCTATCCATTTGGGTGTAAGCTAAGAAAGGCGGAAATTAGGGCAAAAGAATGGAAATTGGTTCTAATGAGATGTATGGTTACATTGAGAATATAATAACATTGGGGTATTACTACTGTGAACTAGATCAATTTGCCACTACCTCCCGAAATTCTCATGTGAAAGAATTGATGAACTAGGGTTTCTCGCTCATTCACAACCTCCGAAACTCACCCCTTTACACCTCAAATCACTCATCGCACCTCCGTCTCTACTGCTTGCGCACCAAATCACCACCGTCAACACACTCCTCCTCTTTTCTCTCTCTACATCCTATATGCCACCACCTTGTTTTCACCACCACCACCTCTTCTCCTTCTTCGTTCATGAAGATGTGGTTGTTAAATCCACAAAATTGTATGCCTTTTTCGGACTACACCATTACATATCTGTGATTACAATGCAAATTCTCGTATCTTAGATGTTTTGCTATATGCCACACATGAACTAATACATCCAACAGTAGATGTTTTGCTGTCAAGGCTTGCAGTAAGAAACCTGATCAAAACATTCATCTTGAATCTAAGGTAAATTTATATGAAGTTCTGTACTTCATTATGCTTTTCTGTGATTACAATGCATATTCTCATATCTTAGTTGCTTTCTGCATATTTAACACTATTTTCAGTTTGATTTGTAGGTATATATAGTTGTATATTGACAATACTATTATGGGAAAAGAACTTAGTTGAAAATTAGCAACTAACAATTCATTTATCATGTTTAATTGCATTGTAGATTAACTTGTGCTCCTTAAATTGCATCATTGAATGCATCTAGTGAGGATATAAAAGAAACAACAACTGGACAACATGGTACCATAGTTGCCTACATTGAGGAGGAGCAGGGGCAGACTGAAATAACTAAAGAGATCTTCCTTGAAGATCTTGAAACTGTTTCTGAAGTACAAATCCCAGGAGTGGTCCCACATTCAGAAGATTCAAACATGAAAGAAGAGTGTCTTACAACAGAAACGTATGTGGATGAAGAAAAAGGAACAGAAACAAGAGAATTTCAAGTGAAGAGGTCAGACTGAAAAACGTCCCTACAGTTCACAACATTTTTTTTCTTGTACTTCTTATGTGCCTTATCAACATACTTTGACACTAATGGATGCAGAAAACAGAACAGACAACAGAAATTGGCGAGAACAAATCATTGTATGAAAAAAAAGGATGTTACACAAGAAAATCAACTTAATAGCACAGAAGACTGTAGTGAAATATCAAAGGATGTCATCTTGACTAAAGAGCTGAATAAGATAAATATATAACCACTTACTTATCTATCAAGTCATCAATGGGGTCTGCTTACATAAATGTTATATAGACTGAACAGATACCTTTAGAGACACAAAAAGAAAAGGGAACAGATGACCTCGAAGAACAGATTGTTGAGGAATATAGTAATTCCACAGAGCTACAAGAGAAATCAACAGAAGATCAAAAGGAACCTGTGGTTAGTCTATTAACAGAAATATGAGAACAATATTTTGTTCATGCTGTACGAATATATGTGTTAACATGAACTTTTTTTAAGCAGATATCGCATTCGGACCTATCAGAATTTGATGAGTCACCCAAACAGGGTCTTGAATCTGTTTGTGATGTACAAACCCCTGAAGTAGTTGCTGATTCAGAAGACTCAAAAGTGAAAGAAGAGAGCATTGTCTCAGCAACAACCGAGTATACAGATGAAAAAAATGAAGAGGAAGAACATGAAGTTAGAGCTAATGAAACTTCTAGTGCAAAGGTTAGAAAATCTTCAAGAGTTTTGATGTTAATGTATCTTGACATATAATCACTCTATCATGAACACTTATGTTGTCATATGGAAAGTAAAACTATCTGAATTCTTTTGTTTATTTTTGCAAAATAGAATCTTGAACTACATGTAGAACTCAAACCTACGTCTGAATTGGTGATAGAAGAAGACCAGGTTAAGGAAACAAAGCGTCCACCAGAACAATCATACATTACCCCTAAACACATCATGGAGAATGACATCTTGGCTGAAAAGGATTTAGTAGATGGAAAGACAACAACATCAAATGAAAAGGAATTAGCCGATGAGGTCATTGCACATGGGAAGAAAGGAACTATGATATCAAATTGTTTTCATTTGTTCATATATCAAGATGAAAACTATTTTTTTAACAAATAGAATATTCAAAAGACTTCCTTTTCCTTCCCCTTTTATAATATATATAACACAACTTTCTTGGATATTCAATTATTTGTTATATACTAACCGAGCATACAGATGAAAACAATGGAGGGGAAGAAGATGAAGTTAAAGCTAATGAAACTTCAAGTGCAAAGGTTAGAAAATTTTCAAGAGTTTTGATGTTAATGCATCTTGACATATAATCACTCTATCATGAACACGCATGTTGTCATATGGAAAGTAAAAGAAACTTTACTCTATTTTTTACAATGTAATGCAGTTGAGCCTTTATTAGAATTTTTTTGGTTTATTTTTTGCAAAATAGAATATTGAACTACAAGGAGAACTCAAACCCATATCTGAATTGGTGATAGAAGAAGACCGGGTTAAAGAAACAAAGCCTCAACCAGAACAATCAGACATCACCTCTGAAAACATCATGGATGATGTCATCTTCACTGAAAAGGATTTAGCAGATGAAAAGACAACATCAAATGAAAAGGAATTAGTCGATGAGGTCAGTAAACATGGGAAAAAGGGAACTATAATATCAAATTGTTTTCATTTGTTCATTCAATGATGAAAATCATCTTTTAACAGATAGAATATTCAAAAAAAACTTCCTTTACCTTTCCCTTTTCCTTTTATAATATATACAACACAGCTTTCTTGGATATTCAATTATTTACTATATTAATATATATATATATATATATATATATTAAAAATATTTTAAACAGGTGTCGTCGGAGCTTGATCGACCTATAGAGGAGGAAATCACAAAAAAGGATGAATATTTATCCCATGACAGTATAGATGATCCAAATGACACTACAACTAAAGAAGAAAAGTGCTTTCAAGATGCAACAACAAGGGATATTGAACCTGTTGTAGAACAGAATGATGGTCTGGATGAAGCATCAAAGGAAAAGTCTAAGGATTCAAATGAAACAACAGAAGTCGGACCTCAAGAAGATATTGTACCCTCAAGTTTATTAGTAACTTCAACAGAAGAAACCCCTAAAACTTTGCGAATAGATGTTGTGACCAAAGTCCTGTTTTGCATTCTAGCAATGCCTTTCTTTGCAACCTAGTCATATCCTCGGGCTCTCACTAATCTTGGATTCTAAAAATGATTGGTACCCAAAATCAGGTCTTTGCCGTGAATTGGTATGTTTGATGTTTGATCATTTACACGATGTGTTAACCACATTTTGTTGTTCAGGTCTTTGCCACCATTGGCCAAAAATTATGTTCTCCAGTTGTTGTACATAGATGTGCTTGTGTCAGCCAGTTCATTGCAAGAATGGGTTCTTGTTGATGGTGCTTCAAAGCATAAAGTTACTGTTGATAGACTCATTCAATTGAGAGTATTTACTAAAACTGTTGATAGGTACATGTGTTTGCTTAATTCCCTTTTATATTTTTCTTTTTCAAACAGAGTTCCCTTCACCTATCTGGTTTATTAAACCATTATGATCGACAACTTTTAGAAATGCCATATATTGTGTATGGCCAATTGATGTTAGTTAAATAGTTCAGTAACTTTGATTTTCAGAATTTTCAATCTTAAATATGTTGTGATATTTATTCATACTTGTAATTTTGATGATGGCAGTGAGTCTGAAATCGACGTATTTTAGGAAGTCGATAAAAAAAGGCAGGAAGAAGAGCTGGTATACCCTTTTTACATTGAATGCTCTTCAATCTATTTTACTTTAACATAGAAAAAAGGCATCCTGCATTTGTCTGTTGAGTTTGATTAATAATAATAAGTAAAATTGGGCATGCTTTGTGGAAACAGGTGGTATTAGAACAAGGGGGCCAAGTGGTTAACTCATACCTCCCCTTCCTTCTAGAATTGAAACAGAAGATGAAATAAAATCGTTCTGTGAAGCTATGAAGGCATTTGAAGTCCCAAAGCCAGTTGTTATACCTGGATATGGAGGTAAAAGAAAGAGTGAGCTTGGGAACTTGAAAACACATAATTATGGAAGAGGAAAGCGAGCAAGGGAGGTTTGTTTGTTTTCCGACAGAAGATGAATTTGAGAAAATGTGCCAAGTCGAAGCATCAGAGTCACCAAACACTACCAAGGAAGAAGGGGACTTGGCTGGTGGACAGCAGCCCAGTACACCAGGTGGCAAACCAATGATATGGAGGATTTTTTTTACATGATATCTGAAACAAGAAGGTGCCCCTTAATAGCAATGTAGTATTAATTAGGTTATATAGTTAGTGAAAACCTTTTAATAACAATGTACAATCAGATCCCCTTAATATCAATGTATTACAATTTTTTGACATGATGTTATTGGATGAAATTGATTGTTTTGGTATATATTTGTTTCCATATTTTGGTATTATGCGTAAATGAGTATCGTAAAGACGCGTCGTAAATGGTTGCTGAAGTTTATGACGCGTAAATGCGTGTCATCTTCATTTATGACAGGGGCTTTAATGATACGCAATATGTGTCCTAAACGCGCGTCGCAAGGTTACGACACGCAAATGCGTGTCGTCTTCCTTGATACGCATTGCGCGTCGTAAATGCGTGTCATAAATGTGCGTCGTAAATGCGCGTCATCTATATACGACGCGCAAAAGTCTGTCGTCTCTCGTTATGACAGGGCCTTCCTTGACACGCATTTGCCTGTCGTCTGAGCATTTTACGACACGCATTGCGCATCGTAAAAGGCGATTTTTCTAGTAGTGTAGGTTCATCCAAATTTATCAGTGTATTATCACTGATAAATGCATCACCTTCTGTAGTAATATGGAAACCATAATAAAAATCAGGTGTGCTCCTAACTCTCGTGGAACGCCTCAGAGATACAGACTCATCAATCGGCTCAACAGGAGTTTCCTCCTCAGGTTGATTGGTAGTGTTTGAGGTTCCTTCACCGCTTGACTCTTGAATTTCTTCAAGGTCAATTTGCCTCCCACTGTTTCCTTGGCTTATGAATTCTCTCTCAAGAAAGACTCCTCTCCTCGCCATGAAGACAACATTGTCACTCGTTCTGTAGAAGAGATAACCAAAAGATTTATGTGGGTAGCCGATGAAAATACCCCGCTCATTTCGAGGTTCGAGCTTGTCGTGAGTCTCACGCCTCACGAAAGCCTCACAACCCCAAATCTTGATGTGGTCTAAAGTAGGAACTTTCCCACTCCACATCTCGTGAGGTGTTTTGGCAACCTTCTTGGTAGGGACTAGATTAAGGATATGGGCGGCAGTATCTAAGGCATACCCCCAGAATGAGATTGGTAACGAAGCTCGACTCATCATGGAACAAACCATGTCTAACAAGGTTCGATTGCGCCTCTCAGCCACACAATTCAGCTGTGGTATCCTAGGAGGTGTCAATTGTGAAACAATTCCACATTCCTTAAGATAGTCAAGGAACTCGATACTAAGATAGTCACCACCTCGATCGGATCGGAGCATCTTTATCTTCCTGCCCAACTGATTCTCCACTTCCTGTTTAAAATCTTTTAATTTATCAAATGTTTCTGACATATGCATGATTAAGTAGACATAGCCATATCTACTATAATCATCAGTAAAAGTCACATAGAAGTGGTTAGCATCCCTTGTGGCAGTTCAGAAGGGTCCACACACATCAGTGTGTATGAGGTCCAACAAACCTTCACCCCTAGCATAAGTACCAATGAAGGGTGACTTAGTCATTTTTCCAAGTAAACAAGATTCGCAACTATCATCTAACTTTAAGTCAAATGACACCAAGACTCCAGCCTTTTGGAGTTAGCCTATGCGCTTCTTCTTGACATGTCCAAGACGACAATGCCAGAAGGATGCCTTATCCAAACTAGTGAAGAATCAATACGAAAAACATTATTTCCTAATTTGTCTACAACCGACACAGTTTCATATACACCATTACAAGGTAATGCTTTAAAATAAAGAACATCATTATAAAAAGCATTAATACCACCACATTTATTATCAAATGAAAAAGTAAATCCTTGTTTGTACAAACCATGAAAAGAAATAATATTTCTCGCCAATTCAGACGAGTAACAACATTTATTTAAATCTAATATTAATCAACTACTAAGTAATAAAGAATAAACTCTAATCTTGGTGACAGGTGAAGCTTTCTTATTCCCCATGGTCAAGTTTATCTTCCCGTGCTCCACATCCTCACTTCTTTTAGGCCCTGCAAATCAGAATAAATGTGAATTCCACACCCTGTATCAAGGACCCAAGAATTAGTATGTGGTGAGTTATTAGACAATATAGTGTAAATACCTGCATGCGTGGGTTTCACTTTCCCATCCTTAACATCCTGCATGTACTTGGGGAAACTTCGCTTCCAGTGCCCTTTTTCCTGACAATAGAAGCATTGTGCATCCTTTAGGCTAGAAGAGGGAGTGGCAGAACCATATTTGGTTCCAATCGAAGAGTAGTCATCAAGAGACTTTCCCTTGGTGCCATTTGAAGGGGTCTTCCAATTTTTCCCTTTACCTTGCCCGATTACCAGAACAGGGGCGGTGGTAGGAGTGGTAACAACATTCTTACCTTTGAGACTACTTCCAGCAGTCCTCAAAAGTCCTTGAAGTTTGTTAAGTGTGACCTCCTCCTTGTTCATATGATAGGTCATGCGGAACTGATCATAACAGGAGGGTAAGGAGTGTAAAAGAATATCTATTGCAAACTCCTCATCAAAGTTCACATTTAACTTTAGCAAACGGTCCACGAAACTTTGCATTTTCTGGAGGTGGCCCGTGATAGACTCTCCATCCTTCATTTTTTTTGTTATCATAGAGGTGATGATTTCATACTTTTCCTGACGAGCACTCTGATGGTATCTTTCCATCTGGTCCTGGTGCATCTCATAAGGGTAGAAATCTTCATAGGATTTCTGGAGTTCTGCTGTCATGGTAGCCAACATGATACAAGACACCTTAGTAGCATCCTTCTCATGGGTAGTGTACTCAGCAATCTCCTCTGGAGTAGCAGAAGACTCATCAATAACCTTTAGCTCCTTATCAAGGACATACTCCTTGTCTTCATAGGGAGTGACCATCCTTATGTTCCTAATCCAATCATTGACATTAGTCCCATCAAAGATGACCCTCCCACAAAGATTCATGAGAGAAAAGGAGCCAGTAGGGTTTGAGCCAGAAGCATTGTTGGAAGACATCTGAAAAGGAAGAAAGACAAGTTTAGATTAGATAAAGAATCCTTAATAAGACACCCAAATGAAATATTAAGGCTAGGAACCAACACAATATTTTATAACTTGGAAGAGGGATGTCGTAATCCAAGCTACAAAATATTTGAAGGTAGGTAAATGATGATTTACCAATTTCCACCAAAAAAACGAAACAAATTATTAGGTTTTAATTGGATTGAAACTCCTAGATCTTTTGAGATTCATTGAACAATTCAATGACATGTTTAAATCTCGACTATGCCCTTCAAGTTTGTGACTGGGATACCGAGGATCACAAACAAGGTGTGAATAACCATGCAATTTAACTTAGTACTCTTAAAATTTTCACCTAACCGATGTGCCGGTTAACCAGACACGCTCCACCGATCTATGATAAACCTTAAGCCACCCTTTGCCACCCTTGTTAGTCCAAATTAGTGTGTCAGTTAACCACACACGCTCCACTAACGACTTAGCAAGGTGCAAAGTGTAATTTCATGGGTTAGCATCAATTTCACATTTTCCTAAAGTAACTAAGATTGGGAATTTATAAAAGGTTTAGTTACTTTATATTTATCGTTATACTTTTAATGAGAATTATAGTCTTTTTCCTATCCGTTCGACTAACGACCCTCCACCAGTCAAGGAAGCGGTGGGTGAGAGTGGACACCCATTAAGCTGCCATTTTATAGGCAACAACCTTATACCCCCCTTATAGACCGGATTCGTGAATGAGGCCTACTAACAGTAAGATTGACTTGTTCTTAACATATATATATATATATATATATATATACATATATATATATATATATATATATATATATATATATATATATATATATATATATATATATATATATGTCGAGTGCATGAACCAACTCGATAAGCTAGATGAATTTTCACATGGACTCGTCGAGTGCCCCCATGGACTCGGCGAGTTCACTGAACAGTGAGCAGAAAATCGACTTTTTCAGCAAGTAGCATCAAGTATAATTGAAAACTAGCCTAGGCTCTGATACCACTGTTGGGTTTTGAGCATTTTAACACTCCTATGGTGTGCATGCAACCCTAGAAACCTTGGATCTATGTTTTCTCTGTTACACATGAAAACTTTGATTTTTCCAAGGTTTCATCCTAACTAACATATGATTGGGGTATATGTAATATAAAAACTAGTAGAATGACATACCTTTCTTGTAGCTTTGATTCCTTAAGACTTTGTGAGCCTAGCACCCCAAATATGATGCTTCAAATGGTTCACACAATACCACCAACAATTAGAATAACTTGAGAGAAGATTCTATTTCACCAAAATCGGCTAGCCCTCACTTGTGTATGTCTAAGTGCCTAGTTTGCTTGGATGGGGCTTCATTATATAGTGTGCACATTAGGGTTACACCATGTAACTCATGCCTTTCCACATTCCTCATGATCCATGGGTTTTAGACTCCATGGAGTATCCATGGGTCACCACATGGGTTTAGCCCAACATGAAGAATTATGGATCATAAGCACACCATATAAGAATGAATGATTTACCAAATCAATCCCCATTTATTTAATTAGTCTATATTGATCACAAAATTAATTCCAAACTAATTCTTGATTAACACTAATTAAATAATTCATATTAATATATTCGAACTTATAATATATTAATAAGTCATAAATATCCTCTTCTCAGAAAAGTCTATCCAAATTGTTCCGATGCCATGCAAACTAAATGGACCATGCCAAGTCGGGTCAAGTACATACCAAATATAGTTATGAACTTAGACATCTTATCCAAAATATTCCCCCTACTACCACTATCACATAACATCATACCATACTAGCACATAACATAACATATAGTGGCATACCAGACAATTATCACAAAGACAATCATCTAACAGACAACTCCTACAAGTGGGCCGACATTGTGGCTTTAGACCCACTTCTACTGGAAGGTAACTCACCTCGTAAAGATTAATGTCGAATATCACTAGAAGGAATCTCTAACAGCTGCTTTGATGACTCCCCTACTATCAATATCATAACAACACTTAGTCAATATCCATAATACCTCTTAGGGAAAAAGGACCATTTTACCCCTTGGTCTAATATGGA